TTATTTGTGGTACTATGAAAAAAAAATTCAAACTTCCAGTTTTTACCGTTAAATGCCATTTTTATTGTACAAAAATAAGACAAAATTCAAAACGGCGCGCCGTGGGGCAGAATCCTGAAAAGATGCCAAAAAATCAATGCTTACTTCGATTTAGATGAAATTGCGAATCTGAAGTCAAATGTCAAAAATTAAAAATGGTGGACCTAATATGGCGGACTTATCTTTCTAGAATTGAACGGATTAAGTTAAAATTAATTTCATGGCGGTAATTTCTCTCTCAAAATGAATGAAATGTTGCGATAAAGATACCCATTAAAAGAAAAAAAGAACATTTTTTTTAAAGAATAATATTTTTATTATAAGGAACATTTTTTACTTTTATTTTTGCTGGTTTTTGCTTACAACTGGTTATAGGATCAGAACTGAGTAGAAAAAAAATTGAAAATATCACTATTAGATTTTTGTCTGCTGCATTTTCTCGAACTGTACTCTCTGTAGCGCTTAAAGTCCTTGTTCCTTGCCTCCTGTGGTTCATCTGTCAATTGTCCGATAGGAAGGAGAGCAAAGGAAATTATTTCAGGTCCATGAATCAGATACTTATGTACTGTGGGTGGCATGTTGTACCATGGGTATAAGGAAACAAAATATCTGGCAGTATCAAGTGCAAATGTCCTGTACTTTTCAGGATCTATATCCAACCCCCTGGCTTACAGCTATCAATATAACGTGGAGTTTTTTAATTAAATCAATGTCTACATTAGTAATTTGTGCGGATAACTCTGGATTTTGGAAAAAACGCCTAGCCGTGTTTCCATCGTTAGTATTACCGAAACCCGGCTTCGGTTTGTCGACAATTAGGCCACTTTTTTCCTTAAACTCTTTTTGTATTCGAGCTTTGTTTTCAGCAACGAGCTGTTTCTCTCTTTCCCCACGAGATTGCCATTTTCTTATAGGCAGCTTATATGCTAAATGCAGTAGACATTCAAAGCATCGAATCCAACGACCTGTCTCCATTGACGCGGGCGCACTGCTTCAAATCGTTATAATTTCTAAAGTAGCAGAAAACTAAAATTGCTTGTATAAGCCTATATAACAATGATTATTTTCAGATAACAACCAACCTTTAAAAATGTTAAGAACCCTAACAAAATATCTATTGTTTATTAATTTTCCTATGATTTCACTACACCACTAACTTTATCTGGAATAACGGAAACTACTTAAAATTTGAATAAAAAACCATTACTGAAACATATTTACATACCTGGGGATGGCGATTCCATTGCTCTATAAACAAACAAACAAATTATTTTGTTTTAAGACTAATTTGAGCTTGCAAGTAAATCACTCTTAGCGAATAGCGCGGTCAGCACGACACAGTTCACTTCACTGTAATAACCAACAATATCTTGTGTTTGGTTTATTAACACTGTCGAAAGGTACCTTACCTATTGTACTAGTTATGCAATATAATGAAAGAATACTGCAATCACGTTTTTTTTCTCAATTTTTGGCATCTTTTTGGGATTCTGTCCCAGTGTGCGGCGGCAGAAAATTTATGTTTTTGTCGAACCCTGCATGTTTTTATACTTTTGCAGAGAGTATTATAATTTCAGTTAGAAGTTTGCAACGCGGTGAAGGAGACATTTCCGACCCTATCACTAGGAGAGTCGATCTAGCCATGTCCGTTTGTCCGTCCGTTTCTACGCAAACTAGTCTCTCAGTTTTAAAGCTATCTGTATGAAACTTTCCCAAAAGTAGCAGGTAGTATTTCGACATATGGCTAAATATTTCAGAACTACGGTTTTAATTTCATCAAAATCGGACGACTGTATCATATAGCTCCCATGGAAACAATACAAATATGAACATTTTTTTTTTTAAATGTAACTTTTCAATTTTGTATTTTTTTTATTCTTTTTGACTTATTAATAATTTTACAGTTTAGTATCTCTTCTTAAATTTGGTTTGAATGAAGAATATAGGAATAAATTAAAAAATAATTGAATAAATCAAGAGTAGTGCTGCGAATTCTGATTGAAAACATCATTTCGAAATTGTTCAAAATGTATATATATAAAACTCAATGTCACTTTCTTTGTAATTCCATCACTCACAAACCCCCGATTCTACTAATTCGACATACATTGTCCTGTTCGCACTCCATCCACTCACACACCTAAGCAATAACTTTAACTACCGAACCGTTTGACCAATCTTACCCAAATATTTCACATTAAACTGTATTGACTGTTGTCACACCCCCGCATCCACCCACGCACTAATCGTATGACAGACCTCAAGTTTTTATACCCTTGCAGAGGGTATTATAATTTCAGTCAGAAGTTTGCAACGCAGTGAAGGAGACGTTTCCGACCCTATAAAGTATATATATTCTTGATCAGCATCACTAGTAGAGTCGATCTAGCCATGTCCGTCTGTCCGTCCGTCTGTCCGTCTGTCCGTCTGTCAGTCTGTCCGTCTGTCCGTCCGTTTATATGCAAACTAGTCTCTCAGTTTTAAAGCTATCTGCATGAAACTTTCCCAAAAGTTGTCTTTCTATTGCAGGTAGTATACAAGTCGGAACGAGCCGGATCGGACGACTATAGCATATAGCTCCCATAGGAACAATCGGAAAAATAATTGAAAAAAAATTATAACTTTGCTGTTTTTTAATTTTTTGTTTTGTTCTTCGACATAAAGCAATGGTTAAATATTTCAGAATTATGGTTAAAATTTCATCAAAATCGGACGACTATAGCATATAGCTCCCATAGGAACAATCGGAAAAATAATTGAAAAAAAAATTGTAACTTTGCTGTTTTTTAAATTTTTGTTTAGTTCTTCGACATACTGCAATGGTTAAATATTTCAGAATTATGGTTAAAATTTTATCAAAATCGGACGACTATAGCATATAGCTCCCATAGGAACAATCGGAAAAATAATTGAAAAAAAATTATAACTTTGCTGTTTTTTAATTTTTTTTTTAGTTCTTCGACATACAGCAATGGTTAAATATTTCAGAATTATGGTTTAAATTTCATCAAAATCGGACGACTATATCATATAGCTCCCATACAAATAATAAAAATATATAAAAGAACAATCAAATAATTAAGCTGCAAATCGTCATAGCTTCAATGTTTTTAAACATATACGCAAGTAAATCATAATTTTAATGTTTTCAAAAATATTTAATTCTTGCGATAGCTGCAAGGGTATATGAACTTCGGCTTGCCGAAGTTTGCTTTCTTTCTTGTTTCTGTTAAATGTAACAGATCGAAGAGTAAACAAATTCGAACAAATTTTCATATTCATTATAAAGTGAAAGTGTTTCCATAAATACCACGTCCAAAATCAAACATAGATCGATGTACTCGAAATGCTCAGGTCGTGTTGTCACAAAGAATATCACAAAGTAAAGTGCGACGAAATAGATTTGTAAAGCTCATGCAAGAAATCCAGCAAACCATGCAACGACGTATGTTTTGAAAGATATTTTCTGTGCTGCATTAGAGGCACGCTGCGAAAGGCGAATCGTTAAAAATGCCGAGAAAATATTGGAAATCGTTGAGTCTGAGCGTCATTCAAGCAGTAAATAAATTGCCCAACAGCTAAACTTTGCTCAAAACAGTTTGGAACCATTTAACAATGGCTGAATAAGCTATAAAAAAACCTTTTGGATCGAATTCCGATCTGCGAATCGCTGCTGAATCGCAACAAAACCGACCCGTTTTTGAAGTGGATGGTGACTGGTGATGAAAAGTAGGTCACTTACGTAAACATGAGGCAATAACGGTCGAGGTCGAAGAAGGGTGTGCCGGCCCAGGCGGTAGACGGTGGACCGTCTGAAGGAAGCAATTGCCCAGAAGCGTCCCGCTTTGGCCAATAGGAAAGGAATTGTTTTCCATCAGACCAACGCTAGACCACACACATCAAAAGCGAGTCGCCAGATGCTCCGAGATCTTGGATGGGAAGTTCTTTTGCATCCACCTTATAGCTCGGTCATCGCACCAAGTGACTACCACTTTATCCTATCAATTGTGGATTGTGAAAACCGACTGGAACAGATTTTGCAAATAAGGACGAAGGATTTCATGAAGGTATCATGAAATTACCATCAAAATGGCAATCGATTGTACATAAAACTGGTGCTTATTTGAAATAAATCGGTTAGTTCTAACCATAAAATAAAAAGCTTTGAATTTCATGTACAAATAATGGATAATTTTTTGTTGCATGTTGCATGTTCGAGGGTCGGTACTGCACATAGTTTATTCATTCATGCACCTGTCATTAAAACGTTGTTGTCCAAATGTTTTGGATTAGAATTTAAATTTTTGAGATTTACAATTTATTATATGTGCGTGCTTATGTTAAAAAAGGAATTAATAGTTCAAATATTTGATTAATATAACTTTTGGAATTTTTTACAGTGACAATTTTCAAATGATTCGTATTTTTGTATGCTTTTGAATAACGTTATAACAATTTTATGGATCGAATTTATTGTACTTATGCATCCTCATAAACCGAAAATACTTTGTCAAAAATACTTTGTCGATTCTCATCCTCAATTTTACATATATTTACAAACTGCGCAGCGAAAAGCGCAGGGTTAGCTATTATTCTATAAATATATAGTTTTAATTTTTATGAAAAAAATTATATTATTTTGTGCAAAAAAAACAAAGATGATGGAAGTAAACTATTTTCATTCTATCATAAATCATTACGTATTTTTAAGCAATAGCATTTAGAAAAGAGCATTTGCCCAGTCGCTAAGAAATTTATTAAGACTTTTACCAGAAGTGTTGCAATCGACTGTCATTTATCACTTTAGACGTTTGACCCTCAAAGTCCATACCAGGTTACCAGTTAAAGAAATAAGTTTATAATGCAGAAGTAAAAATTCGGTTAAAAGACTTTGAAGATTTTGGAACTACTTTAATCTATTTTCCTTTTTTATTTTTGTTGTTTCATTTTATATATTTTAGCAAGCGCTCATACTGGCGATCTAACGGTTGACGAATATCCGGATATTAGTGGCATATGTACAGCTAGGGTAAGTCATCGTGTAAAATAATTTTCTTTGCTATATGTAAACCTATATTTATTTTAGGAAGCCATGCGAAAAATGACCGAAGAAGATAAACAAAAAATTGCTCAGCAGGTTGAGTTGTTCCGTAGGGAGAAACTTACGTTTGACTCGGAAGTTGCCAAATGGGATGATACTGGAAACGACATAATTTTTCTTGCTAAACATATGTGTATGATTATGATGGAAATGACTGACTTTACCAGGTAAGATCAGATCTCCATTTAAAGTTTGCCCACTACCTTGCTTACGACCGCAAACTTTGTTTTTTGTATATGTTTGTTTTTTTTTGGGTGAAACTATTTAAAACATTTTAGATAATCGCTTTATGTGTAAACAACATGGGGGACTCGCTAAAGTCGAGTTCCTCCACTATAAGATTCCCGTTAATCAGGTCTATTGATGCCCAGTCCAAAGAAAATGGGCCGAGAAAGAAGCGTGCGATGATCAGGCACCTTTTGCTGGCGTTAGCGTCATCGTTTTTAGGAGTGGGTCTTGTTAGATTTCTGCCTCTTTAACATAATCAGAAAAAAATATTAAATGTGCCTGGGAAAATAATTTAATCCGCCTTATTAATCTTTCTTCACTGTCAACAAGCTACTCGAATAGCAACTTGATTGAAATACAATCGACAGCGTGTGGCTGTTACCCTCCCCTTTCACATAAGCATGTACCGTTGGACCAGCGCGAGCCATGCAAACTGACCTCTATTGACAATGGCATTCGTCAAAGTTTTTTCATTCTGACATACTTTGCTTGTTGTTCTTGTTTATAAACACATGCTTATATTAATTTTCTATAAAGAATTTATTAAAAACAAAAAAAATACCCTAATATACCCTTGCAGTTATAACAATTATTTTACACATTTATTTTCTCAGAAAATTTGAACTTAATGCAGACTTACCAAATCAGTTTATTCTACAACCATTCTATCACTTAATCACTTCCACGCTCTTATCGCAATACTTTGCCTACTATTTTTTTACACCCACAATAAAAGTAATACTGTTTTTATACTCACAAAATAAATAAATAGACCAAATTTTGGTTGGTATATATTTATTCGGCCAACATCTGTCGATACCGAATAAACTTTTAAACCTTTTAAACTTAGTAAAATAAATATATGTCAGATTTTTGTTGAGTTAAAATTAATATTTTTAATGTTCCTGTTTTTTTCATGGGAGCTATATGACATAGTTGTCCGATTTGAATCAAATTTAAACCATAATTCCTAAAAATGAAGTATCAAAATCGGACGACTATAGCATATAGCTTCCTAAGGAACAACAGAAAAAATAAATTTAAAAAAAATTATAAGTCTCCTGTTATTTAATTTTATTTTAGTTCTTCGACATTTAGTAATGGTTAAATATTTCAGAACTACGGTTTAAATTTTATCAAAATAGAACGACTATATCATATAACTCCCATAGGAACAATCGGAAAAAAAATACAAAAAAATTATAACTTTTCTGTTCTTAAAATTTTTTTTTAGTTGTTCGACATATAGTATTGGTTAAATATTTTGGAATTACGGTTTAAATTTCATCAAAATCGGACGGCTATATCATATAGAAATAATAAAAATATATAAAATAACTATCTAATAATTAAGCTGCAAATCATCATAGCTTCAATGTTTCAAGAATATTTAATTTTTGCAATAGCTGCAAGGGTATATGAAGTTCGGCTGGCCGAAGTTTGCTTCCTTTCTTGTTTTTATTCAATTTGTTTCGTTTAGTTTCTTGGGACTTTGGCAACTTTGGTCCCGAACACTACTTGTTAAAAGTTTGCAACACTGGTGCCAAGCAGCTGATTCACACGTGTTGTTCAACACTTTTGTTTGTCAGTTTCCATCACTGCCTGTAAAATAAGTAAAAAATAATAATAAGTAAGTAAAATAAGTAGAATTTATTTTTTTTGATACCAATGATTTTTTGACTGATTTGAGACATTAAATGTGTGCACCAATAATGCACAAGGATTTGGAACAGCATCGGGCCAAATGTTGATCAGAGATTTGCCTTGAAAACTTAGGAAAATCAAAGGCTTTTGTTATGAGCAGTAGCGGCAGTCAGCTGTTTTATTTCCCCCCAAATAGTAATTTCCCTAGGAAGTTTGCTAGCAAGCAAGAGAACCTTGATTATGTTAAAGAGAAATCCTCCAATGTTAACGAATTCACTTCCGAGTGAAAACTGGAACAGGCCTTGTATATATTCTTGATCAGCATCACTAGGAAAGTCTATCTAGCCGCCTGGTTGTTTCTGCCCAAACTAGTCACTCAGTTTTAAATCTATCTGCATGAAATTTTCACAAAAATAATCTATCTGGTGCAGGTAAAACGTAAGTCGGAACTTGGCTGTTTGGACGAATGCATCATATGCTCCCATTTGCTGTTTTTCAAATTTCAATCAGACGAATATATCATAAACTCCCATGGGAACAAACGGGGTAATAAAAAATAAACGATCGAATAATAAATTGAGCTATAGCTTCAATTTTCTTAAACGTATACGAATAAATATCGATGTTTTTTGCAAAAGCTGCAAAGGTATATACATTTTGGGTTGTTGCAGTTTCCCTCCTTTCTTGTTTTTAATTTTCACAGGACTAGAAACCTTTTTTTTTTTTTTAAACTACGTTAGCACCATGGCCAAGAGTTGTTCCAAATAACTTATATATTAAAAAATCGAAGAACACAGTTCTGTCCTCTGATCACTAAATAATTATGTCTATAATAACCTTGCTAATATTAATTATTAAATGATTTCACTATTAATTCCGATAAACTTCATAATCGAATTGCACTTGCATTGATTTCTGCTCATTCAAATCAGCATAAAATGCCAATTAAAAAGATATTTATTTATTGCATTTTTATATGCTGAATATATTCCAAAACCGAATTTGTAAAGAAAAATGTGTTATATACATATTAAAAGTTCCGTGATCTCAAAAGCTTTAAGACTCGAAAATAAAAAGAAATCTATCCTGGCGTTTAAAAAAAAACAAGAAAGAACGCAAACTTCGGCAAGCCGAAGTTCGTATACCCTTGCAGCTATCGCAAGAATTAAACATTTTTGAAAACATATGCTATAGTCGTCCGATCGTTCCGACTTATATACTACCTGCAATAGAAAGACAACTTTTGGGAAAGTTTCATGAAGATAGCTTTAAAACTGAGAGACTAGTTTGCGTAGAAACGGACGGACAGACGGATATGTTTAGATCGACTCTCCTAGTGATGCTGATCAAGAATATATATACTTTATAGGGTCGGAGATGTCTCCTTCACTGCGTTGCAAACTTCTGACTGAAATTATAATACCCTCTGCAAGGGTATAAAAAAATGTAAACACAAAAACCTAATTTTGGCTATATTTTAGTTTAATAAAACGCCCTTAACAAGACACATTAAACAATATGTAGCACGTAACCGCAGCATTAGTCGTTTGGAAGATGTGGGCACGAGATCAAGCTTTTTTTGTTTAAGTTTTCTCGCTAAACTACCTGATTTTCCAGAAAGTGGTAGAACAACATTTTTTCTGCTCGAGCTGTTTAATACAGTAAAATTAAGTTCAGGACTTTAAAACATCGCTTTGAAATGCACATACAAAACAAAAACGAAAAATCGTTATCATTTCAAAAATGCTGTATATGTCTTGTTTATTGAATATCTTTTTAACGGAGTATCGGATTGAAATAATTTTATTTAATGCCAGAATACAACTATGCCATAAATGTAAAACTCAACCGGCCCAAATTTTTTCGCACTTTCACCCCCATTTCTCCATTTATTAAGATCGGCATATTCTTAGCTGATTTCGAACCATTGTACCATTGCGCACGCTTACCGGTGCTCTTCGTCACTACAATAAATACATATAAAAATACATATTTAGACCTTGGGTTGCGGAACACTCACTCTTTTTATTTGTATCCGAGTTAGAGAGCTCTCTTTTTAAAGACGGGCAGCACACTTTTGAAATTTTTAGGATTACATATATTTGTGCATTGCTATAGTGCTTTGTGATAATTCACTTTTAAGAACTTAAGCTTACAAACACTACATTACATGATTATAGTATGTTTCACTTATGAAGACATTGAAGACATTTTAGCGAACGGTGTATTGGTCCTTTACATGTCCTTCCCCAAGCATCCCTATCACTTTTCACAGCGCGATGTCCCTCGTATATTACGGCGGTTCTCACTTGTTTTTCTTGTTGTTCTTCTTATTTCTTGATCTCCAGTCCCCTTATATAGGGTTCTGAGGACCAAGAGAGGTAAGAGGTAAATTCTTTCGTTCGTACTGAAATGCCCGATCCGCACCAAATCTGTTCTCATGATTGCACCCAGATCGATCGCTCCGTTGTGAAGTCAAATTCAAGGTCATTTGGATGCAAAAGTCTGCATTCCCATACAGATAACACCTGCCTGCACTTGCGATAAATGTTGGACACCTGACTAGTCGAATTTCCCGGTTTCCAGGTGCTGCACTTATTTTGTTACCACCGATTTTGGATGGGTATCTGCAATTTCTCGAAGTTGTGAAATGCGAGCGTTGACATTTTTTGCAATTCTCCTGACTCTGGTTTTTTAGTGCCTTCTGCCTGGTCTGACCACCTGATACCCGTCCTGTTGTAAAGTCAGCATTCTTGCTGTCAGATCAGATCGCCATTTAAAGTTCACCGTTCGTTAATGACCGTCAATTTTTTTTTAGTAAATGTGTATGTTTTATTTTGGGTAAAACTATTTAAAACATTAAATCCGCGACCACCGCAACACCGCATTACAAAACGTTCCAAAAAACACTGTTGTGACAGTGACTGACTTGGCCGTCACAAAAGAAACCGCACCAATCCAGTAAACGTGACCCCGACGGTGGATGGCCTTTAGGAAAATTGGTAAACTTTTGAGGTCACCAGTCTTAACGCTGACCTTTGTTAAGGACAAGCAGGTGCGCCACATTAATGTGGGAATGAAGGCGAAGTTGGCGCAGCTGAAATAGCTGCATACCGCAATCGTGTCATCGGAGGATTTCCCAGAGACGCAGGAGCCAGGAGCAGGTATATCTACATCTGTGTGCCCTAAATGCCAGCAGGAATCTGGTAGCAAGAACCGAAGAAAACCTCGATCGTCGGCTTCGCTCTGGTAGTCGTCGCAATGGAGCAATCCGTCGTTAACAACGCTATTCGAG